GATGTCCACGTCCGAGATGAAGCCCCAGCCAAAGCCCAGGAAGGAGAAGAGGCGTTTGCCCGAGGCCGTGCTCAGCGAGACCAGGTCCATCTGCGTGTGCAGCCCCTTGCACAGGATGAAGGTGCAGTTCATCAGCAGCTTCTTCTTGACGACGTGATCATTGCTACAAGGGATGGAGAGGGTAAGTTTGGGCTGGATCCAGTTTAGGACCTCTCCTGCTCTCCCAGCATCCATGTACAACCCCTGCCCCTGTGTCCTGGGTGGGACATAGCCCCCCTGGGTGGTGGTGTCCCTCAGGGACAGCTGCTGGGAGAGGTTTTGCTGGGGTTGGGAAGGATAAACCAGCTCCTGAAAGAGGGAACTGCACTGGGACTGCTGGGCCAGGTCAATCCTGGTCCCCTCGCCCTGCAGTGGGATCGGCTGTGCCCCAGCTTGAATCCTTTAGGGTAAAGCTTTGCCAGACTCGGAGCCTGGAGAGGAGAAAGGGCGTGGGGGGAGCTGGGGATGAAGGCACCCAGGTGGACACCCCTGTGCTGGGCACCCCAGCACCCTTCCCCTGGGCTGGAGCCATGCGCAGCCTGTTGCTCCCCTTATCCCCCCCACCTTGGTGCCAGCCCCTTGTGCCAGCTGCCGCGGTGCTGTGAGCGGGTCCCTCCACGGGCTGGGGGCTCACCCTGCGTAGTGGTTGATGGAGGCAGCCAGGGCATTCCCAGAGCCCCCTGGCAGGATGCACAGCGGCTTCTTCATGGTGTCCTCCCAGTCCGGCCGCTCCATCAGCCCATTCACCACCTGCAGGGATGGAGGGAGCTGGTGGCACCTGGGACTGGGCAAGGACCCCAGTTGGGGGGAGAAGAGCCTGTGGGGCCCTTGGCCAGGGCAGGACCAAGGCCATGGATGCCCCACTTTGCTCCAAGCTAGGTGCCATCGCTCTTTTACCATTCCCTGCCCACCTTCATGGCTCAAAGCTTGGCTCCTGCCCCAAGCACCCCTCTTCTCCCAGCCCTCAGCCCACCCTGGCCAGGGGGATGCCCCATGGTGCCCCTCACCTCATACAGCAGCCCGTCCCCTGCCATGACCACCAACGTGTCCCACTGCGACAGATCCTCATCCCGCACCTTCTCATGTGCATGGTGGGGTCTCT